AGCAAGTGGAATTCTATTGAAATAATGCGGAATTCCAGTGACATGTAAAATTTTGCTAAATTATACTAAATTTCATAGAAATTATGCTGAATTTTAGTAAAATTATGCGGATTTCTATAAATTTACCGTAAAATTCTATTGAAATTAGATTTTTTCCTGGAGTGCTTTTTCAATGAAAAATTTTTAAATTTTGCTTTAATGAGATTCTCACTTTCCTCTTTTTTTTCTGGAAAATTTTTACAATTATCTTTTTGCCAGTTTTCTAGAAAACACATAAAATGTAAGAAAATGAATTTTGCTTAAAAAAGTCAATTTTCCAGAATTTTTCCTAGAGCGATTTTCCACTGAAAAATTTTGAAACTTTCTTATAATAATTTCCTCACTTTTCTATTTCTCCTGAAAAATTTTCAAATTTTTCCTATTACATATCAGTTTTCAAGAAAAAAATTAAAATGTAAGAGGATGAATTTTCCTTGATTTTGCCTAAAAAAGTCAATTTTCCATAATTTTTCCTGGAGTAATTTTCCACTAAAAAATTTTGAAATTTTCCTATAATGATCTCCCCACTTTTCTATTTATCCTAAAGAATTTTCAATTTTTTTCTTCTCAAAAATCGACTCAGAAAAATTTTCTTTGACTTTTCTTGAATTCATAATTGAGGCAAAATCCGAAAAAATTAGAATTTTCGACTCAGAATTTTTTTTCGCAACTCAGAAAAAATATTTTCTGCTTGAATATCGACTCAGAGAAAATTTCTTCGACTTTTCTTGAATTTGTAATTGAGGCAAAATCCAAAAAAAATAGAATTTTCGACTTAGAATTTTTTTTCACGACTCAGAAAAAATATTTTCCACTCAAATATTGGCTCAAAAAAAAATTCTTTGACTTTTTTTGAATTTGTAATTAGGGCAAAATCCAAAATTAACGCAAAAAAAAATAAGAATTTTCGACTCAGAATTTTTTTTCGCGACTCAGAAAAAATATTTTCTTCTCGAATATTGACTCAGCGAGACATTTTTTTTTTTTTAAGTTTTTTCGAATTTGTAATTGAGGCAAAATCCAAAAATAACGCAAAAAATTAGAATTTCCGACTGAATTTTTTTTTCACGACTCAGAAAAAATATTTTCCACTCAAATATTGGCTCAAAAAAAAATTCTTTGACTTTTTTTGAATTTGTAATTAAGGCAAAATCCAAAAATAACGCAAAAAAATAGAATTTTCGACTCAGAGTTTTTTTTCACGACTCAGAAAAAATATTTTCTTCTCAAAAATCGACTCAGAAAAATTTTCTTTGACTTTTCTTGAATTCGTAATTGAGGCAAAATCCGAAAAAATTAGAATTTTCGACTCAGAATTTTTTTTCGCAACTCAGAAAAAATATTTTCTGCTTGAATATCGACTCAGAAAAATTTTCTTCGACTTTTCTTGAATTTTTAATTGAGACAAAATCCAAAAATAACGCAAAAAATAGAATTTTCGACTCAGAGTTTTTTTTCACGACTCGGAAAAAATATTTTCTTCTCAAAAATCGACTCAGAAAAATTTTCTTTGACTTTTCTTGAATTTGTAATTGAGGCAAAATCCAAAAAAAATAGAATTTTCGACTTAGAATTTTTTTTCACGACTCAGAAAAAATATTTTCCACTCAAATATTGGCTCAAAAAAAAATTCTTTGACTTTTTTTGAATTTGTAATTAGGGCAAAATTCAAAAATAACGCAAAAAAATTTGAATTTTCGACTCAGAATTTTTTTTTTCACGACTCAGAAAAAATATCTTCTACTTAAATGTCGACTCAGAAAAATGTTCTTTGACTTTTCTTGAATTTGTAATTTAGGCAAAATTCAAAAATAACGCAAAACAATTGGAATTTTTGACTCAGATTTTTTTTTTCACGACGCAGAAAAATTTTCTTTTACTTTTCTTGAATTTATAACTGAGGCAAAATCCAAAAATAACGCAAAAATTTTCGACTCAGAATTTTTTTCACGACTCCGAAAAAATATTTTCTACTTAAATATCGACTCAGAAAAATTTTCTTTGACTTTTCTTGAATTCGTAATTGAGGCAAAATCCGAAAAAATTAGAATTTTGATTGAGATTTTTTTTTCGCAACTCAGAAAAAATATTTTCTTCTCGAATATTGACTCAGAAAAATTTTCTTTGACTTTTTTTGAATTTGTATATGAGGCAAAGTCCAAAAAAATTAGAACTTTCTACTCGGAATTTGTATTCACGACTCAGAAAAAATATTTTCTACTCAAATATTGACTCAGAAAAATTTTCTTTGACTTCTCTTGAATTTGTAATTGAGGCAAACTCCAAAAAAATTAGAATTTTCTACTCGGAATTATTTTTCACGACTCAGAAAAAATATTTTCTACGCAAAAATCGACTCAAAAAAATTTTCTTAATTTTGCTTAAAAAAATCAATTTTCCAGAATTTTTCCTGGAGGGAATTTCCACTCAAAAATGTTGAAATTTTCCTATAATGATCTCCTCACTCTCCTCTTTTTCCTGGAAAATTTTCAAATTTTTCCCTTTACTAGTTTTCCAAAAAAAAATAAAATGTAGGAGGATGAATTTTCCTTGATTTTGCTTGAAAAAGTCAATTTTCCAGAATTTTTCCTGGAGTGATTTTCCATTGAAAAATTTTGAAATGATAAAGGTCAAAATAACATTATGTTGGCAATACAATGTGAAATTGTCAATGGTTTCAAATTTTTTATGTAGAAAAGGTTTGTGTTGCCAACATAGTTACTAAATTTTTGACTTGGAGAATTATCTTTAAAAAAAAAAACACACTTTAAATATTATAAATAGTTGAATTTTTGAAGTCCTAAACTTTTTTCTATAATTATGTATTTTCGAATTTTTTTTTTTTTATATTTTTGAGTTTTTTGAATTGTTTTTATATTTTTGAGTTTTCTTAAATTTTTTTCATATACATATTTGAATTTCTTGATTTTTTTGGTAAATCCAAAAAAATTCAAAAAGATCCAAATCTAAAAATTTGAAAAATTCAAAATTTTGAAAAAAAATGAAAAAACTCAAATTCGAAAATATAAACAAGAAAGTTTTTTGACTTATTTGAATTTTTCATATTTTTGAATTATTTTGGATTTGCTAAATTATTTCAATTTTTTTTAAATTTTGAAATATTAAACTTTTTTCTATATGTATTTTTGAGTTTTTTTTTTCAAATTTTTGAGTTTTTTGATTTTTTTTTAATATTTTTCAGTTTTTTTGAATTTTTTTAGATTTGTCCAGTTTTTTGATTTATTTGAACTTTTCATGTCTTGATATTTTTTCATATTTTCGAGTTTCAGTTTTTTTGAATTTTTTTGGATTTGTCCAGTTTTTTGAATTCTTTTAATTTTTTTTTATTTTTTAAATTTGTTCAATCTTTTCAATTTTGTTGTATTTTTGAATTTTTTCAATTTTTCAAGTTTTAAATTTTTTTTATATTTTTGAATCAAGTAAATATTTATGAAAATCACAACAATTCGAAAAAGCCATGAAAATTAATAAAATCAGGAAAATTACGAAAATTTCAAAAATCATAAAAAATTAAATAAATCATAAAAATTTTGAATATCACAAAAAATAACAAATATAAAAATTAATGAAAATCATATATTTTTGAATTTCTTGATACATATTCAAAAAACTTGAAAAATTCATAGGTACAAAAAACATTAAAAAAAATTAAAAAACTTATATTAAAAAATGTGTTCAAATACACTCTTCAACAAGTTTTAGAAATTGTACTAATTTTAGTACAATTTAAATTTACCTTAAAAAAAAAACATTTAACATTAAAATAAAAAAAAAAAAATTGTTTTTTTTTTTGAACTTTTCATGTCTTGATATTTTTTTATATTTTCGAATTTATTTGAATTTTTCTTATATTTTTGATGTTTTTGAATTTTTTTAGATTTATTCAGTATTTTGAATTTTGTTGCATTTTTTTTTTTTTTAAATTATATTTTCGAGTTTCAGTTTTTATAAATTTTTTTTCATATTTTTGAATTACTTGATATTTTTTAATTTTTTTGGATTTGCCAAAAAAATTCAAAAAAATCCAAATTCAAAAATTTGAAAAATCCCAAAAAAAAAAAAACAAAAAACTTGTAAATATAAAAACATTTTAAGACTTGAAAAATTCAAAATTATGAAAAAAATTTAAAAAAAAACTCAAATTCGAGAATAGGTATAAAGAAATTTCAACATTTGAAAAATTTTAAAAAATCTAAAAACTGAACATACTAAAAAAAAAACATAATTTATTATGTTTTGAAAAATCCAAAAATTTTAAAAAATTCCAATTTTTTTTTTTTTTTTTTAAATTTATTTCTTGAATATGCATGTACTTATTTTTTTTAAAATTTTTTTTTTTTTTTGAAAATTTATTTCGAAAACTTTTTGCTGAAATTTTTTTCTAAAAATTCTTTTTTTGAATTTTTTTTTCAAATTTTCTGAAAATTTTCGTTATTTTCGAAATTTCTTTGTGTTATGGTTTATTTGAATTTTTATTATTTTCATTAATTTTTATGATTTTTGTTATTTTTGTTTCCTGATTTTATTAATTTCTAAGATTTTTAATGAGGAAACCGCATGTTTTTTGAAAAAAAGTGAAGTTTCAATTTTCACGAAAAAATTGAGGGAATTCCAATTCTTTGAGAAAGTGAAAAAATTTCAAAAATTTCGAAAAAAGTGAGGGAATTAGAATTTTTCGGAAGAAACCAATGGGATTCTAAATTTTTTGAAAAAATTAGAATTATAATTTTTTTTTTTTTTTAAGTAAAGGTCCCATTTTTATGAAAAAAGTGAGGGAATTTCATTTTTTTAAAAAAAAAAAAAAGGAATTTCAAAATTTTCGAAAAAAATGGGGAAATTTCAATTTTTTTGATTTAGCCCTAGTCCATCGCACACCTGTTGACGAAGTCCCTACAGCCTTATGCGCATACAACGGCCGCCTTTTAGTAGGCGTAGGCCGTATGTTGCGCCTATACGATTTAGGAAAAAAGAAGCTTCTGCGCAAATGCGAAAACAAACACATCCCTAACGGAATTGTCAGTATTCAAGCCATTGGCAAAAGAATCTATTGCGCAGACATCCAAGAATCAGTCTTTATGGTCAGATACAAACGGGCCGAAAACCAACTAATAATATTCGCAGATGACACGCATCCAAAATGGATTTCAGCCACTTGTATTCTTGACTATGACTCAATTGCAACAGCGGACAAGTTTGGCAACGTCTCAATTTTGCGCCTCCCGTCAAACGTCACCGATGACGTCGAAGAAGACCCAACAGGCAACAAGGCCTTATGGGACAGAGGCCTTTTAAACGGAGCCTCCCAAAAAGCAGGCACTGTTGCCACATTCCACATCGGCGAAACAGTTACAATGTTGCAAAAAACCACCCTAATCCCTGGCGGCAGTGAGTCTCTAATCTATGCCACTTTAAGTGGTACCATTGGAGTTTTGGTTCCTTTTACATCGCACGATGATCATGACTTTTTTCAACATTTAGAAATGCACATGCGCAGCGAAAATGCGCCGCTAGGCGGCCGCGATCATTTGTCGTACAGGAGTTATTATTTTCCGGTCAAAAACGTCATCGATGGTGATTTGTGCGAGCAGTACAACGCGTTGGAGCCGCAAAAGCAGCGCAGCATCGCGCAGGATTTGGACAAAACCGCCGCGGAGGTGTCCAAGAAATTGGAAGATGTCAGGACGCGGTACGCGTTTTAAGGTTAGGATTTAGGGACTATTTTAAGGTTAGGATTAGGGATTTTTTTTTGTCTGAATTTAATAATTAAATAAACAAATTGCCATTGTTTTTTTTAATTCCCAAATATCAGTTTATGTTATAAATAGATACAAAGATTACAGGTTTCTGTAATGGCTATAATATTTTTCAAATAGTTTTGACTTTTGTTTGATAGATGGCGCTCAAGAGGTTGGCCAAAACATGGCGGCGTTTTTCATATAAAAATATATGAAGTATTTAAAGAACCAATCAAAAAAACAGCAATTGTCGCCACTGTGGTAATAGAGTCACTGTATGTTCAATAATATATACATTATTATCAAATTTAATTGCTAATAACCTAAAATGATAAATTTTTAATACTTTTTATCAATAATTTGTATTACAGAAACCTGTAACACGATTTTGATTTTTGGTAATTACAGTTTTGGCCGCTTCCTGATAGATGGCGCTTATTTAATTGAATTAGTTTTATTAATTTTTTGATTTTTGTTACAGGAATCTGCAATTTGAACATTATTTGTTTATAAATACATTTAATTTTTTTTACAAGAATCTGTAATTTACACTTTTGGCCCCTAACAATTTGGTCCAAAATTTTGTCAATTATTTAATTAGTTTTAACGTATTTATTAATTAAAATTGCATAAAACGATGATTACCTCAATTTACATTAAAATCAAATCCTTATACAGTAGACTCTCGATATAGTGAACTAATTAATGCAAAGCCAGTTCACTAGATCGATTTGTTCACTATATGGAATATTTCTAAAATTTACTAAAACAACGGCTGTTATTACAAAACCAACTTTATTATCAATGAAAAAAACGTTATAAGTATAATGTACTAATTAAAAGGTGGTTTATTCTTTTTTTTTATCGAAAAACGATGTAATTTTTGTTTGTGTTTTTGGTTTCATGAACCCTTTTTGGACCATTTCATTTCTTAAGTTTTGTAAAACGAGTAAACTGGAGTATTCTACTTCATTTTCTTCAGCCCATTGAATTACGTTGTTAATTGACTTCATCGCAATTTCAGTTGTCACACGTTCTCTCATTACCTGAACTTCGTCCCGTTCTTGATCTTGACCATTTTCATCGCTTTCGCTGTGGTCTTTATTTTCTTTATCCGGCAAAATATCGTTATTCCAGTCGTCTACATCCATGGTGCGAATGTTCACTTCGGGATTGACAGCTTGCAGTAAATCGACAATTTCTGATCTTACTCTATTGATTTCCCCATTCATTATTTGAGTTCGTAGAACACTTAAAGGAATTTCATCCTCATCATCATCATCTTCGTTGGCTAACGGCGAAAGTAGATTGTGCCAACATTTTTCTATGACTTCAGGCTTTAAATTTTCCCATGCTAGGGCCAAATGTACAACAGCGTCTTTTAAAGAAAGAGATTTCAGAGTTTCTCCTATATCCTGATCGGTACCAATAATCTGCGACAACAAATTTTTGCGATAAAAAAGTTTTGTTAAACGAATCGCATTTTGGTCCATCGGTTGTATCAATGGAGTAACGTTAGGTGGCATGTAAAGAGTAAAAATGGAACCATCATCACTTCTTAGTTCTTCAGGGGGTGGATGACTTTATGCGTTGTCTAACAAAAGGACGGCTTTAACTGGCAGATTTTGTCTACGTAGGAACTTTGTCACCTGAAACAAGTTAAAACAAAACCTTAAATCACAAGCAGGAACAGCAAGAAAGGGAAATATGTAATCGCGTCAAAAACAAATTTATAGGATTCGAAATTACACAGATGATGTCGTTTTGTTCGTAAAAATGGTAGAATTTAAAATGTTTTCCTATTGCGAATGGCGAAACTTACCTCTGGAATAAACATCTTGTGAAACCATTCTCCAAAAATTGTTGCTGTCATCCAAGCAGCTTTGGAATTTCGATAATGAACAGGTATGTTGAAATTTCGAAATGATCGAGGATTTTTGGACTTTCCAATCACTAGTGGTTTTAATTTGTGCGTACCTGCCGCGTTTGTGCATGCTAGAAAGGTCACTCTTTGTTTTTCGGTTTTTCGTCCTGGAGCTGTTTTCTCCTCGCGAGCTACATATGTTTTTCCAGGAAGAAGCTTCCAATATAGGCCAGTTTCGTCGGCGTTGTAAATCTGATCTTTCGACAGTTGAAGATCTTTAATTTTTGCTTCTAGATTTCTTTTGAAAGGCTCAACAAGCTCAGGCTGTGATGATAATTTTTCGCCTGAAATCTTTAAGTAACGTATTCCAAATCGCCGTTTATATTTTTGCAACCAGCCGCTGCTTGCATGGAAAGAAGGAGATTCTTTGTAATCATTGTGGAGCAGCTTAGCCTTCTCTTGGATCATTAAACCGGTCACGGGAAGATTCTTCTCTCTTTGTTTGAGAAACCACCTATACAGAGCCTTTTCCATTCGTGGACACTCTGAGTGTCTTAAGGTTTTCATTTTTCCTGGTCCGCTAAAAGTATTGTTGACCCTTTTCAAAATGTTAACCCTTCTGTTTCGAATAGCGCATATAGTTGATTTAGCAACACCATATTCTTTGGATAAAACAGTCACTCCGACACCTTTCTTTAAGTCTTCTAATATTTTGGCTTTATCATTTAGGCTTAAATGTTTTCTATTTTTTGCCATATTTCACTCGCGAAACGACCTGATGCAATCACAATTCGCAAGAAACTGCTGTGATCCGATTACAGAAAAGTAAACAAAACGTTTAAAATCGTTTTCCTGTATCGACGTGTTGGGTTCATTATTTCGAGAACCACTTTGTTCACTGTACAGAATGCATTAACAAAAAATTGCCTGTTCACTATTTAGAGTAGTTCACTATACAGCATGTTCACTATATCGCGAGTCTACTGTATTACAGAATTCTGTAATTTGCAACTCTATTTTGTTTACTAATAGATGGCGCTGATATGGGAAATTTGTTTTTTTTGTTTTCCTATTTCAAGCTCCTCACTTTCCTCTTTTTCCTGGAAAATTTTCAAATTTTTCCCTTTACCAGTTTTCCAGAAAAAAATTAAAATATAAGAGGATAAATTTTCCTTGATTTTACTTAAAAAAGTCAATTTTCCAGAATTTTTCTTGAAATGATTTTTCACTGGACTTAACACTTAACTCAGAAAAATTTTCTTTGACTTTTCTTGAATTTGTAATTTAGGCAAAATTCAAAAATAACGCGAAACAATTGGAATTTTCGACTCGGAATTTTTTTTTTCAAGACTCAGAAAAAATATTTTATTCTCAAAAATCGACTCAGGAAAATTTTCTTTGACTTTTCTTGAATTCGTAATTGAGGCAAAATCCGAAAAAATTAGAATTTTCGACTTGAATATCGACTCAGAAAAATTTTCTTTGACTTTTCTTGAATTCGTAATTAAGGCAAAATCCAAAAAAAATAGAACTTCTGACTCGGAATTTTTTTTCGCGACTCAGAAAAAATATTTTTTACTTAAATATCGACTCAGAAAAATTTTCTTTGATTTCTCTTGAATTTGTTATTGAGGCAAAATCCAGAAATAACGCAGAAAAATTAGAATTTTCGATTCAGAATTTTTTTTCACGACTCGGAAAAAATATTTTCGACTCGAATATCGACTCAGAAAAATTTTCTTTGACTTTTCTTGAATTTGTAATTGAGGCAAAATCCGAAAAAATCAGAATTTTCGACTCAGAATTTTTTTTCGCAACTCAGAAAAAATATTTTCGACTTGAATATCGACTCAGAAAAATTTTCTTTGACTTTTCTTGAATTGGTAATTAAGGCAAAATCCAAAAATAACGCAAAAAAATTAGAATTCTCGACACAGAATTTATTTTCACGACTCAGAAAAAATATTTTCGACTCGAATATCGACTCAGAAAAATTTTCTTTGACTTTTCTTGAATTTGTAATTGGGGCAAAATCCGAAAAAATCAGAATTTTCGACTCAGAATTTTTTTTCGCAACTCAGAAAAAATATTTTCGACTTGAATATCGACTCAGAAAAATTTTCTTTGACTTTTCTTGAATTGGTAATTAAGGCAAAATCCAAAAATAACGCAAAAAAATTAGAATTCTCGACACAGAATTTTTTTTCACGACTCAGAAAAAATATTTTCGACTCGAATATCGACTCAGAAAAATTTTCTTTGACTTTTCTTGAATTCGTAATTGAGGCAAAATCCGAAAAAATCAGAATTTTCGACTCAGAATTTTTTTTCACGACTCAGAAAAAATATTTTCGACTTGAATATCGACTCAGAAAAATTTTCTTTAACTTTTCTTGAATTTGTAATTAAGGCAAAATGTAAAAATAACGCAAAAAAATTTGAATTCTCGACACAGAATGTTTTTTCACGACTCAGAAAAAATATTTTCGACTCGAATATCGACTCAGAAAAATTTTCTTTGACTTTTCTTAAATTTGTAATTGAGGCAAAATCCGAAAAAATCAGAATTTTCGACTCAGAATTTTTTTTTCACGACTCAGAAAAAATATTTTGGACTCGAATATCGACTCAGAAAAATTTTCTTTGACTTTTCTTGAATTCGTAATTAAGACAAAATCCAAAAAAAATAGAACTTCTGACTCGGAATTTTTTTTCGCGACTCAGAAAAAATATGTTTGACTTAAATATCGACTCAGAAAAATTTTCTTTGATTTCTCTTGAATTTGTTATTGAGGCAAAATCCAGAAATAACGCAGAAAAATTAGAATTTTCGATTCAGAATTTTTTTTCACGACTCAGAAAAAATATTTTCGACTCGAATATCGACTCAGAAAAAATTTCTTTGACTTTTCTTGAATTTGTAATTGAGGCAAAATCCGAAAAAATCAGAATTTTCGACTCAGAATTTTTTTTCACGACTCAGAAAAAATAGTTTCGACTTGAATATCGACTCAGAAAAATTTTCTTTAACTTTTCTTGAATTCGTAATTAAGGCAAAATTTAAAAATAACGCAAAAAAATTAGAATTCTCGACACAGAATGTTTTTTCACGACTCAGAAAAAATATTTTCGACTCGAATATCGACTCAGAAAAATTTTCTTTGACTTTTTTTGAATTCGTAATTGGGGCAAAATCCGAAAAAATTAGAATTTTGGACTCAGAATTTTTTTTCACGACTCAGAAAAAATATTTTCGACTTGAATATCGACTCAGAAAAATTTTCTTTAACTTTTCTTGAATTTGTAATTGAGGCAAAATCCGAAAAAATCAGAATTTTCGACTCAGAATTTTTTTTTCACGACTCAGAAAAAATATTTTCGACTTGAATATCGACTCAGAAAAATTTTCTTTAACTTTTCTTGAATTTGTAATTAAGGCAAAATGTAAAAATAACGCAAAAAAATTTGAATTCTCGACACAGAATGTTTTTTCACGACTCAGAAAAAATATTTTCGACTCGAATATCGACTCAGAAAAATTTTCTTTGACTTTTCTTAAATTTGTAATTGAGGCAAAATCCGAAAAAATCAGAATTTTCGACTCAGAATTTTTTTTTCACGACTCAGAAAAAATAGTTTCGACTTGAATATCGACTCAGAAAAATTTTCCTTAACTTTTCTTGAATTTGTAATTAAGGCAAAATTTAAAAATAACGCAAAAAAATTTGAATTCTCGACACAGAATGTTTTTTCACGACTCAGAAAAAATATTTTCGACTCGAATATCGACTCTTCTTTGACTTTTCTTAAATTTGTAATTGAGGCAAAATCCGAAAAAATCAGAATTTTCGACTCAGAATTTTTTTTTCACGACTCAGAAAAAATAGTTTCGACTTGAATATCGACTCAGAAAAATTTTCTTTAACTTTTCTTGAATTGGTAATTAAGGCAAAATCCAAAAATAACGCAAAAAAATCAGAATTTTCGACTCAGAATTTTTTTTCACGACTCAGAAAAAATATTTTCGACTTGAATATCGACTCAGAAAAATTTTCTTTAACTTTTCTTGAATTTGTAATTGAGGCAAAATCCAAAAATAACGCAAAAAAATTAGAATTCTCGACACAAATTTTTTTTTCACGACTCAGAAAAAATATTTTCTACTGAAAAATCGACTCAAAATTTTCTTCTTAATTTTGCTTAAAAAAGCCAATTTGCCAGAATTTTTCCTGAAATGATTTTCCACTGAAAAATTTTGAAATTTTCCTATAATGATCTCCTCACTTTCCTCTTTCTCTTGGAAAATTTTCAAATTTTTCCATTATCAGTTTTCCAGAAAAAAATTTAAATGTAAGAGGATGAATTTTCCTCAATTTTGCTTGAAAAAGTCAATTTTCCAGAATTTTTCCTAAAGTGATTTTCCACTGAAAACGATAAAGGAGGAGCGCACGTCACTGTCCTAATCAATTTTTTCCAAAAATCGATATCGCAAAAATCGATATCTCGATATCGACGAAAACATCGATATTGATTATTGACCAAAAGACGAATATCGATAAAATAAATCGGTATCGATGAAATTTGCAAAAAAAATAAACAATTTAAATTATAATTCGATATCGACTTAAAAAAATCTATATTAATTTTTATATTTTTAATTTAATTTTTTAATCAATATTGACCTAAAAAGATATTAACCTGAAAATTGATATCGATAAAAAAATTGATACCTGAATAAAACTCGAAATCGACAAAAAAAATTAATATCGACAAAAAAATCGATAATCACCAAAAAATCAATTTCGTCCAAAAAATCGATAATAAAAAAAATTTATATGGATAAAAAATTTCGATATCGACAAAAAAATAATATCGACAACAATATCGATATCAAAAAAAAAATCGATTGCTCACATGTAAAGAAATCAAAGGCGAAAGAATTTAATTTAAAATGTCAACTTTATTTAATTTTTAATCTTAGATATCGACAAAAAATCGATATTGACTTAAAAATTCATATCGACAAAAAAAACGATATTGACTTGAAAATCGATATCGATTTGAAAATTAATATCGACTTAAACTCGATATGTATCGACAAAAAAATTGATATCTATAAAAAAAAATCGGAATCGACAAAAAAATTGATATCGGCAAAAAAATCAATATGTAATGTAAAATAATCGATATCGTCAAAAAATTGATATCGACAGAATATCGATAATAACAAAAAAAATTGAAATTGATATAATTTATTATTGATTAAGAATCGATCAATTATAAATATGCATCGAAAAAAAATTATTTTAAATTTCAATTTAATTTTAATTTTATTTAATTTAGAATTTAATTTTGTCAAGATATCAATAATTGATATCGATTTTCAAGTCGATATCGACAAAAAACGATATTGACTTAAAAATCTCCATCGACCAAAAATTGATATCCATCAAAATAATCGATAAAACAAATCGATATCGATAAAAAAATCAATATCGACAAAAAAATATCTATATCGACAACAAATCGATCGTTCACATGTATAAAAATTAAAGCCGAAAGAATTAAATTTCAACTTTATTCAATTTAATTGGGCTTTATCAAGTTTTAGCCAAGCAAATTTTTTGAATATCAAGAAATTCAAAAATATATGATTTTATTAATTTTCATGGTTTTTTCGAATTTTTGTGATTTTCATAAATGTTTACTTGATTCAAAAATATAAAAAAAAATTTAAAACTTGAAAAATTTAAAAAATTCAAAAATATAACAAAATTGAAAAGATTGAACAAATTTAAAAAAAAATTAAAAATCTTATAAAATTCAAAAAAACTGAAACTCGAGAATATAAAAAAATGTCAAAACATGAAAAACTTAAATAAATTAAAAAACTGGACAAATCTAAAAAAATTCAAAAATAAGAAAAAAATTCAAAAAATTGAAAAATATTTAAAAAAAATGAAAAAACTCAAAAATATGAAAAAAAAAACTCGAAAATACAAATAGAAAAAAGTTAAAGATTTCAAAAACTCAAAAAAATTGAAATAATTTGGCAAATCCAAAATAATTCCAAATTATGAAAAAAAATTAAAGAAATTTAATTTCAAAAATTTTTAAAAAATCCAGACTTGAAAAATTCAAAAATACACAAAAATTCAAATAACTGGACAAATCCAAAAAAATTCATAGATATGAAAAAAATTCAAAAAAACTTTCAAAAATTCAGGATCTGAAAAATTCAAAAAATTCCAAAAATTTCCGTTGAATTCCAAATTTTTTGGAAAAAGTGGAGAAATTTCACAAAAATTAAGCAAATTCCAAATTTTTTTGAAAAAAGTGAGGTTATTTTAAGAATTTTGAGAAAAAAGTTAGGAAATTCCAAACTTTTTGAAAAATGTGAGGAAACTGCATATTTTTCGAAAAAAGGGAATTTAAAAATTTTAAAAAAATTAAAGAAATTCCATTATGTAATTCTAAATTCCAGATTTTTTGACAAAAATGAGGGAATTTCAAGTTTTCTGAAAAAAATAAGGTTTTAAGGAACTGATAAGAAAATTCCAAATTTTCTAAAAAAATTGAAGAATTCCCTCACTTTTTTGAAAAAAAGTAAGGCTGTTTCAAAAATTTTTAAAAAGTAAGGAATTTCTAAATTTTTCGACAAAATTGAAGAAATTTCAAACTTTTTGAAAAAAGTGAGGAAATTTCAAATATTTTGAAAAACTGGAGGAATTACAATTTTTTTGAATAAAAAGGGAAATTCAATATTTACAAAAAAGTTGAGGAAATTCTAAATTCTTTAAAAAAACAAGTGAATTCTGTTTTATAAATTTATGGAAAAAAGTGAGGGAGCCACATGTTTTAGAAAAAAAAATGGAATTCCAAAAATTTCAAAAAGAAGGGGAATTCCAAATTTTTTGAAAAAAATTAGGAAATTTCAAGTTTTTTGAAACATTGAGGAGTTTAAAATTTTTTTAAAAAAAGCAAGTAAATTTCAAATTTTTTGGAAAAAAATGAATAGTTACATATTTTAAAAATTTCGAAAAAAGTAGGTATGGGAATTCCAATTTTTACGAAAAAACTAAGAAAATTCTATATTTTTTTGAAAAAAGTGAGGAAATTCCAATTTTTTTGAAAAAAGTGAAGGAATTCCAAATTTTTTGCAAAAAGTGAGGGAATTTCAAAAATTTCGGAGAAACTGGGGGAATTACAATTTTTGCGAAAAAACTAAAAATATTTCAAAAAAGTTCTTTGAGAAAGTAAGGGAATTCCAATTTTTGTGGAAAAGTGAGAGAACCGTATATTTTTCAAAAAAGTGAGGGAATTTTAAAAAATTTGAAAAAGTGAGGGAATTTTGAAAAATTTGAAAAAGTGAGGAGATTACAAATTTTTTAAATAAAGTGAGAAAACTTTCAAAAATTTCGAAAAAAGTCAAGTACAATTTTTACGAAGAGAATTCTAAATTTGTTGAAAAAAGTGAGGGAATTTCCAATTTATTTTGCTTTAAAAAAAAGGTTAAATCTTGTGAAAATTAAAGTTAATTCTGAGTTATTTTAAGTTTTGTAAGTTTTTAAAATTTTATAAATTGTCTACATATTTCGTGAATTTTGTAAATTTTCTGAATTCTGTAAATTTTGCAAATTTTGCGAATTTTATCTCGTGAATTCTAAGATTGTTATTTTGTGAATTCCAAAAAAAAATCAAAATTGTAATTTTGTGAACTTTGAGATTGTGCGATTTTCGTGAATTTTTGGATTGTATATTGAGAATTGCGATAAAATTTTAAGTTTGTGAATTTTAAAATTGTAATTTTGTGAATTCCAAGAAAATTTCAAAATTGTAATTTTGTGAATTTCAAATTTGTAAATAAATTTGAAAATTGTGAATTAAAAAAAAAAACATAATTGAAATTTTTATGAATTTCAATATTGTGAGTTTTGTGAATTTCAAGATTATAATCTTGTGAATTGCAATAAAATTTCAAAATTTTAATTTTGTGAATTTTAAAATTTTTTGAACTTTTAAATTTGCAATTTTTGGAATTCCAACCAAATTGTTTTTCTATGAATTTTAAAATTATAATAATCTTGCGAATTTTGTAAATTTCATTGAATTCTGTGAATTTTGTTATTTTTTTTTGAACTTTGTGAATTCTCTGAACTATGTAAATGTGTAAATTTTATAAATTTTGTGAAATTTTAAATTGCATAATTCGTGAATTTTATAAATTTTCTGAATTTTGAAGGTTTAAAACTTTTGTGAATTTGTTTTAATTTTGTGATTTTTTGAGTTACATATTATAAATATTATTAAAAAAATTGAAAAAGTGAGAGAATTCCAATTTTTTTTTTTTTTTTAAAGAATTTTCAAAAATTTCGAAAAAAATGAGGCAATTTCAATTTTCACGAAAAAATTGAGGGAATTCCAATTCTTTGAGAAAGTGAGAAAATTTCAAATTTTTTGACAAAGGTGAGGGAATTTCAAAAATTTCGAAAAAAGTGAGGGAACTAGAATTTTTTCGAAGAAACCAATAGGATTTTAAATTTCATGGTCAGATACAAACGGGCCGAAAACCAACTAATAATATTCGCAGATGACACCCATCCAAAATGGATTTCAGCCACTTGCATTCTTGACTATGATTCAATTGCAACAGCAGATAATTTTGGCAACGTCTCAATTTTGCGCCTCCCGTCAAACGTCACCGATGACGTCGAAGAAGACCCAACAGGCAACAAGGCCTTATGGGACAGAGGCCTCTTAAACGGTGCATCCCAAAAGGCAGGCACTGTTGCCACATTCCACATCGGCGAAACTGTTACAATGTTGCAAAAAACCACCCTAATCCCTGGCGGCAGTGAGTCTCTAATCTATGCCACCTTGAGCGGTACAATTGGAGTTTTGGTTCCATTTACGTCTCACGATGATCATGACTTTTTTCAACATTTAGAAATGCACATGCGCAGCGAAAATGCGCCGCTAGGCGGCCGCGATCACTTGTCCTACAGGAGTTATTATTTCCCGGTCAAAAACGTCATCGATGGTGATTTGTGCGAGCAGTACAACGCGTTGGAGCCGCAAAAGCAGCGCAGCATCGCGCAGGATTTGGACAAAACCGCCGCTGAGGTGTCCAAAAAGTTGGAAGATGTCAGGACGCGGTACGCGTTTTAAGGTTAGGATTAGGGACTATTTTAAGGTTAGAATTAAGGATTTTTTTTGTCTGAATTTAATAATTAAATAAACAAATTGCCATTGTTTTTTTTTTAATTCCCATATATCAAGTTTATGTTGTAAATGAATACAAAGATTACAGGTTTCTGTAATGGCAGTAATATTTTTCAAATAGTCTTGACTTGGATTTGATAGATGGCGCTCAAGAGGTTGGCCACAAAATGGCGGCGCTTTCATATTAATATATAGGATTTTAAAGAAACAATCAAAAAGAAGACGGCAATTGTCGCCATTATGGTAATAGTCACTGTATGTTTAATTTCGGCCACTCCTTGATAGATGACGCTAGTAAAAATGAATTGATTTTTTTTTTGTTACAGGAATCTGCAATTTCTTGAAAATTTTATACAAATGTAAATGCTAATTAGTTGATTCCAATGTAATCATATTTAACAATAAATAAACATTATTTGTTTATAAATACATTTAATTATTATTACAGGAATCTGTAATTTACACTTTTGGCCCCTAACGATTGGGTCCAAAATTTTGAATATTTTGTCAATTATTTAATTAGTTTTAACGTATTTATTAATTAAAATTGCATAAAATGATTAATTACCAGAATTTACATTAAAATCAAATCCTTATATTACAGAATTCTGTAATTTGGAACTTTATTTCGTTTACCAATAGAGGGCACTGATATGGGATTTTTTTTTTCCTATTTCAAGCTCCTCACTTTCCTCTCTTTCCTGTAAAATTTTCAAATTTTTCCCTTCACCAGTTTTCCAGAAAAAAATTTAAATGTAAGAGGATGAATTTTCTTTAATTTTGCTCAAAAAAGTCAATTTTCCAGAATTTTTCCTAGAGTGATTTTTCACTGGACTTGACACTTGACTCAGAAAAATTTTCTTTAACTTTTCTTGAATTTGTAATTGAAGCAAAATCCAAAAAAAAAATAGAATTTTCGACCCAAAATTTCTTTTTGACGACTCAGAAAAAATATCTTCTACTTAAATATCGACTCAGCAAAATTTTCTTTGACTTTTATGAATTTGTAATTGAGGCAAAATCCCAAAATAACGCGAAAAATAGAATTTTCGACTCAGAATTTTTTTTCACGACTCAGAAAAACTATTTTCTTTTCAAAAATCGACTCAGAAAATTTTTCTTTGACTTTTCCTGAATTCGTAACTGAGGCAAAATCCAAAAAAAGTTTAATTTTCGACCCAGAATTTTTTTTTTTTCACGACTCAGAAAAAATATTTCCTACTCGAATATCGACTCAGAAAAATTTTCTTTGACTTTTCTTGAATTTGTAATTGAGGAAAAATCCAAAAATAACGCAAAAAAATTAGAATTTTCGATTCAGAATTTTTTTTCACGACTCAGAAAAAATATTTTCCACTGAAAAATCGACTCAAAAAATTTTTCTTAATTTGGCTTAAAAAAGTCAATTTTCTAGAATTTTTCCTGGAGTGAATTTCCACTAAAAAATTTTGAAATTTTCCTATAATGATCTCCTCACTTTTCTATTTCTCCTGGAAAATTTTAAAATTTTTCCCTCTACCAGTTTTCCAGAGAATAATTTAAATGTAAGAGGATGAATTTTCCTTAATTTTGCTTAAAAAAGTCAATTTTCCAGAATTTTTCCTGGATTGATTTTCCCCTGAAAAATTTTGAAAATTTCCTATAATAATCTCCTCACTTTCCTCTTTTCTCCTGGAAAATTTTCAAATTTTTTCCTTCACCAGTTTTCTAAAAAAAAATCTAAAATGTAAGAGAATGAATTTTCCTTGATTTTGCTTAAAAAAGTCAAATTTCCAGAATTTTTCCTGGAGTGATTTTCCACTGAAAAATGTTGAAATTTTCCTATAAATGATCTTTTCACTTTCCTGTTTCTCCTGAAAAATTTTCAAATTTTTCCCTTTACCAGTTTTCCAGAAAAAAATAAAAATGTAAGAAGATAAATTTTCCTTAATTTTACTTGGAAAAGTTAATTTTTTTAAATTTTTCATTGTGAAATTTTGAAATTTTCTATAGAAATTATGCGAAATTTTAAAGAAATTATGCAGAATTCTATGTATAGATTCATTGAAATTATGCGGAATTCTATTTAAATTATATCAAAATTATGCGAAATTTGAATGAAATTAAGCAGAATTCCAAAGAATTTATGCAAAATTTTATTGAAATTATGTTGAATGACAGTGAAATTGTGATGAATTGCATACAAATTATGCGGAATTCCAGTGGAACTATTTTAGATTTCCCGGAATTCCTCATAAATTAAGCAGAATTTTAACGAATTCCACAATTTTATAGAAATTGTGCGGAATTTATAAAAATTATACACAAATTTCAATATAATATGCGAAATTCTATTAAAATTAAGGTAAATTCCATGAAAAAGTATGCAGAATTGCAAAGAAATTAGGCGGATTTTTAGTGGAATTATGACAAATTCCAGCAAAATTATGATGAATTCCATACAAATTACGCGGAATTTTATACAAATCAAATTACATTGAAATTATGCAGAATTCAAGGGAAATTATGCTTAATTCTAACAAAATTATGCTGAATTTCATAGAAATTATGTCGAATTTCATACAAAGCAAGTGGAATTCTATTGAAATAATGCGGAATTCCAGTGACATGTAAAATTTTGCTAAATTATACTAAATTTCATAGAAATTATGCTGAATTTTAGTAAAATTATGCGGATTTCTATAAATTTACCGTAAAATTCTATTGAAATTAGATTTTTTCCTGGAGTGCTTTTTCACTGGAAAATTTTGAAATTTTGCTCACTTTCTTCTTTTTTCTGGAAAATTTTCATAATTTTCCTTCTGTCATTTTTCCAGAAAAAAATTAAAATGTGAAAGAATGAATTTTGCTTAAAAAAGTCAGTTTTCCAGAATTTTTCCTGAGTAATTTTTCGATGAAAAATTTTTAAATTTTGCTTTAATGAGATTCTCACTTTCCTCTTTTTTTTCTGGAAAATTTTTACAATTATCTTTTTGCCAGTTTTCTAGAAAAAACATAAAATGTAAGAAAATGAATTTTGCTTAAAAAAGTCAATTTTCCAGAATTTTTCCTAGAGCGATTTTCCACTGAAAAATTTGGAAACTTTCTTATAATAATTTCCTCACTTTTCTATTTCTCCTGAAAAATTTTCAAATTTTTCCTATTACATATCAGTTTTCAAGAAAAAAATTAAAATGTAAGAGGATGAATTTTCCTTGATTTTGCCTAAAAAAGTCAATTTTCCATAATTTTTTCTGGAGTAATTTTCCACTAAAAAATTTTGAAATTTTCCTATAATGATCTCCCCACTTTTCTATTTATCCTAAAGAATTTTCAAATTTTTGCTTCTCAAAAATCGACTCAGAAAAATTTTCTTTGACTTTTCTTGAATTCATAATTGAGGCAAAATCCGAAAAAATTAGAATTTTCGAATTTTTTTTCGCAACTCAGAAAAAATATTTTCTGCTTGAATATCGAATCAGAAAAATTTTCTTCGACTTTTCTTGAATTTGTAGTTGAGGCAAAATCCAAAAAAAAAAGAATTTTCGACTTAGAATTTTTTTTCACGACTCAGAAAAAATATTTTCCACTCAAATATTGGCTCAAAAAAAAATTCTTTGACTTTTTTTGAATTTGTAATTAGGGCAAAATCCAAAATTAACGCAAAAAAAAATAAGAATTTTCGACTCAGAATTTTTTTTCGCGACTCAGAAAAAATATTTTCTTCTCGAATATTGACTCAGCGAGACATTTTTTTATTTTTAAGTTTTTTCGAATTTGTAATTGAGGCAAAATCCAAAAATAACGCAAAAAATTAGAATTTCCGACTGAATTTTTTTTTCACGACTCAGAAAAAATATTTTCCACTCAAATATTGGCTCAAAAAAAAATTCTTTGACTTTTTTTGAATTTGTAATTAAGGCAAAATCCAAAAATAACGCAAAAAAATAGAATTTTCGACTCAGAGTTTTTTTTCACGACTCAGAAAAAATATTTTCTTCTCAAAAATCGACTCAGAAAAATTTTCTTTGACTTTTCTTGAATTCGTAATTGAGGCAAAATCCGAAAAAATTAGAATTTTCGACTCAGAATTTTTTTTCGCAACTCAGAAAAAATATTTTCTGCTTGAATATCGACTCAGAAAAATTTTCTTCGACTTTTCTTGAATTTTTAATTGAGACAAAATCCAAAAATAACGCAAAAAATAGAATTTTCGACTCAGAGTTTTTTTTCACGACTCGGAAAAAATATTTTCTTCTCAAAAATCGACTCAGAAAAATTTTCTTTGACTTTTCTTGAATTTGTAATTGAGGCAAAATCCAAAAAAAATAGAATTTTCGACTTAGAATTTTTTTTCACGACTCAGAAAAAATATTTTCCACTCAAATATTGGCTCAAAAAAAAATTCTTTGACTTTTTTTGAATTTGTAATTAGGGCAAAATTCAAAAATAACGCAAAAAAATTAGAATTTTCGACTCAGAATTTTTTTTTTCACGACTCAGAAAAAATATCTTCTACTTAAATGTCGACTCAGAAAAATGTTCTTTGACTTTTCTTGAATTTGTAATTTAGGCAAAATTCAAAAATAACGCGAAACAATTGGAATTTTTGACTCAGATTTTTTTTTTTCACGACTCAGAAAAATTTTCTTTGACTTTTCTTGAATTTATAACTGAGGCAAAATCCAAAAATAACGCAAACATTTTCGACTCAGAATTTTTTTCACGACTCCGAAAAAATATTTTCTACTTAAATATCGACTCAGAAAAATTTTGTTTGACTTTTCTTGAATTCGTAATTGAGGCAAAATCCGAAAAAATTAGAATTTTGATTGAGAATTTTTTTTCGCAACTCAGAAAAAATATTTTCTTCTCGAATATTGACTCAGAAAAATTTTCTTTGACTTTTCTTGAATTTGTATATGAGGCAAAGTCCAAAAAAATTAGAACTTTCTACTCGGAATTTGTATTCACGACTCAGAAAAAATATTTTCTACTCAAATATTGACTCAGAAAAATTTTCTTTGACTTCTCTTGAATTTGTAATTGAGGCAAACTCCAAAAAAATTAGAATTTTCTACTCGGAATTATTTTTCACGACTCAGAAAAAATATTTTCTACGCAAAAATCGACTCAAAAAAATTTTCTTAATTTTGCTTAAAAAAATCAATTTTCCAGAATTTTTCCTGGAGGGAATTTCCACTCAAAAATGTTGAAATTTTCCTATAATGATCTCCTCACTCTCCTCTTTTTCCTGGAAAATTTTCAAATTTTTCCCTTTACTAGTTTTCCAAAAAAAAATAAAATGTAGGAGGATGAATTTTCCTTGATTTTGCTTGAAAAAGTCAATTTTCCAGAATTTTTCCTGGAGTGATTTTCCATTGAAAAATTTTGAAATGATAAAGGTCAAAATAACATTATGTTGGCAATACAATGTGAAATTGTCAATGGTTTCAAATTTTTTATGTAGAAAAGGTTTGTGTTGCCAACATAGTTACTAAATTTTTGACTTGGAGAATTATCTTTAAAAAAAAAAACACACTTTAAATATTATAAATAGTAGAATTTTTGAAGTCCTAAACTTTTTTCTACATGTATTTTCGAATTTTTTTTTTTTTATATTTTTGAGTTTTTTGAATTGTTTTTATATTTTTGAGTTTTCTTAAATTTTTTTCATATACATATTTGAATTTCTTGATTTTTTTGGTAAATCCAAAAAAATTCAAAAAGATCCAAATCTAAAAATTTGAAAAATTCAAAATTTTGAAAAAAAATGAAAAAACTCAAATTCGAAAATATAAACAAGAAAGTTTTTTGACTTATTTGAATTTTTCATATTTTTGAATTATTTTGGATTTGCTAAATTATTTCAATTTTTTTTTAATTTTGAAATATTAAACTTTTTTCTATATGTATTTTTGAGTTTTTTTTTTCAAATTTTTGAGTTTTTTGATTTTTTTTTAATATTTTTCAGTTTTTTTGAATTTTTTTAGATTTGTCCAGTTTTTTGATTTATTTGAACTTTTCATGTCTTGATATTTTTTCATATTTTCGAGTTTCAGTTTTTTTGAATTTTTTTGGATTTGTCCAGTTTTTTGAATTCTTTTAATTTTTTTAAATTTTTTAAATTTGTTCAATCTTTTCAATTTTGTTGTATTTTTGAATTTTTTAAATTTTTCAAGTTTTAAATTTTTTTTATATTTTTGAATCAAGTAAATATTTATGAAAATCACAACAATTCGAAAAAGCCATGAAAATTAATAAAATCAGGAAAATTACGAATACTTCAAAAATCATAAAAAATTAAATAAATCATAAAAATTTTGAAAATCACAAAAAATAACAAATATAAAAATTAATGAAAATCATATATTTTTGAATTTCTTGATACATATTCAAAAAACTTGAAAAATTCATAGGTACAAAAAACATTAAAAAAAATTAAAAAACTTATATTAAAAAATGTGTTCAAATACACTCTTCAACAAGTTTTAGAAATTGTACTAATTTTAGTACAATTTAAATTTACCTTAAAAAAAAAACATTTAACATTAAAATAAAAAAAAAATTTTTGTTTTTTTTTTTGAACTTTTCATGTCTTGATATTTTTTTATATTTTCGAATTTATTTGAATTTTTCTTATATTTTTGATGTTTTTGAATTTTTTTAGATTTATTCAGTATTTTGAATTTTGTTGCTTTTTTTTTTTTTTTTAAATTATATTTTCGAGTTTCAGTTTTTATAAATTTTTTTTCATATTTTTGAATTCCTTGATATTTTTTATTTTTTTTGGATTTGCCAAAAAAATCCAAATTCAAAAATTTGAAAAATCCCAAAAAAAAAAACAAAAAACTTGTAAATATAAAAACATTTTAAGACTTGAAAAATTCAAAATTATGAAAAAAATTTAAAAAAAAACTCAAATTCGAGAATAGGTATAAAGAAATTTCAACATTTGAAAAATTTTAAAAAATCTAAAAACTGAACATACTAAAAAAAAAACATAATTTATTATGTTTTGAAAAATCCAAAAATTTTAAAAAATTCCAATTTTTTTTTTTTTTTTTTAAATTTATTTCTTGAATATGCATGTACTTATTTTTTTTTAATTTTTTTTTCAAATTTTCTGAAAATTTTCGTTATTTTCGAAATTTCTTTGTGATTTTCTAAATTGTTATGGTTTATTTGAATTTTTATTATTTTCATTAATTTTTATGATTTTTGTTATTTTTGTTTCCTGATTTTATTAATTTCTAAGATTTTTAATGAGGAAACCGCATGTTTTTTGAAAAAAAGTGAAGTTTCAATTTTCACGAAAAAATTGAGGGAATTCCAATTCTTTGAGAAAGTGAAAAAATTTCAAAAATTTCGAAAAAAGTGAGGGAATTAGAATTTTTCGGAAGAAACTAATGGGATTCTAAATTTTTTGAAAAAATTAGAATTACAATTTTTTTTTTTTTTAAAGTAGAGATCCCATTTTTTTGAAAAAAAGTGAGAGAATTTCAATTTTTTTTTAAAAAAAAAAAGGAATTTCAAAATTTTCGAAAAAAATGGGGAAATTTCAATATTTTTGATTTAGCCCTAGTCCATCGCAGCTAGTCCCTACAGCCTTATGCGCATACAACGGCCGCCTTTTAGTAGGCGTAGGCCGTATGTTGCGCCTATACGATTTAGGAAAAAAGAAGCTTCTGCGCAAATGCCAAAACAAACACATCCCTAACGGAATTGTCAGTATTCAAGCCATTGGCAAAAGAATCTATTGCGCAGACATCCAAGAATCAGTCTTCATGGTCAGATATAAACGGGCCGAAAACCAACTAATAATATTCGCAGATGACACCCATCCAAAATGGATTTCAGCCACTTGCATTCTTGACTATGACTCAATTGCAACAGCAGATAAGTTTGGCAACGTCTCAATTTTGCGCCTCCCGTCAAACGTCACCGATGACGTCGAAGAAGACCCAACAGGCAACAAGGCCTTATGGGACAGAGGCCTCTTAAACGGTGCATCCCAAAAGGCAGGCACTGTTGCCACATTCCACATCGGCGAAACTGTTACAATGTTGCAAAAAACCACCCTAATCCCTGGCGGCAGTGAGTCTCTAATCTATGCCACTTTAAGCGGTACCATTGGAGTTTTGGTCCCTTTTACGTCTCACGATGATCATGACTTTTTTCAACATTTAGAAATGCACATGCGCAGCGAAAATGCGCCGCTAGGCGGCCGCGATCACTTGTCCTACAGGAGTTATTATTTCCCGGTCAAAAACGTCATCGATGGTGATTTGTGCGAGCAGTACAACGCGTTGGAGCCGCAAAAGCAGCGCAGCATCGCGCAGGATTTGGACAAAACCGCCGCGGAGGTGTCCAAGAAATTGGAAGATGTCAGGACGCGGTACGCGTTTTGAGGTTAGGATTAAGGACTATTTTGAGGTTAGAATTAGGGATTTTTTTTTGTCTGAATTTAACAATTAAATAAACAAATTGCCATTTTTTTTTTTTAATTCCCAAATATCAGTTTATGTTATAAATAGATACAAAGATTACAGGTTTCTGTAATAGTGGTAATGTTTTTCAAATAATTTTGACTTTTGTTTGATAGATGGCGCTCAAGAGGTTGGTCACAAAATGGCGGCGTTTTCCATATAAAAATATAGGAGATATACAATCAAAAAAAAAAACACAGCAATTGTCGCCACTGTGGTAATAGAGTCACTGTATGTTCAATAATTTATACATTATTATCAAATTTAGTTATCAATAACTTTAAATATTAAATTTTCAATACAAATTGTATTACAGGAATCTGTAACTCATAATTTTGATTTTTGGTAATTACAGTTTTGGCCGCTCCTTGATAGATGGCGCTTATTCAATTTAATCAATTAACAGTTTTATTGATTTTTCTATTTGTCACTTGCTTTATATGTTTATATATTTGTCACTTTTCATTAATAATAAAAATAAATTGTTATTCGTATATACATCAATTGATTTTTGTTACAGGAATCTGCAATTTAAACATTATTTGTTCATAAATACATTTAATTATTTTTACAGGAATCTGTAATTTACACTTTTGGCCCCTAAAAATTTGGTCCAAAATTTTGTCAATTATTTAATTAGTTTTAACATATTAAAATTGCATAAAACGATTAATTACCAGAATTTTCATTAAAATCAAATCCTTATATTACAAAATTCTGTAATTTGCAACTCTATTTTGTTTACTAATAGATGGCGCTGATATGGGAAATTTGTTTTTTTTGTTTTCCTATTTCAAGCTCCTCACTTTCCTCTTTTTCCTGGAAAATTTTCAAATTTTTCCCTTTACCAGTTTTCCAGAAAAAAATTAAAATGTAAGAGGATAAATTTTCCTTGATTTTACTTAAAAAAGTCAATTTTCCAGAATTTTTCTTGAAGTGATTTTTCACTGGACTTAACATTTAACTCAGAAAAATTTTCTTTGACTTTTCTTGAATTCGTAATTGAGGCAAAATCCGAAAAAAATAGAAATTTCGACTCAGAATTTTTTTCACGACTCAGAAAAAATATTTCCTACAAAAATATCGACTCAAAAATTTTTTCTGACTTTTCTTGAATTTGTTATTAAGGCAAAATCCAAAAATAACGCAAAAAAATTAGAATTCTCCACACAGAATTTTTTTTCACGACTCAGAAAAAATATTTTCGATTCGAATATCGACTCAGAAAAATTTTCTTTGACTTTTCTTGAATTCGTAATTGAGGCAAAATCCGAAAAAAATAGAAATTTCGACTCAGATTTTTTTTTCACTACTCAGAAAAAATATTTTTGACTTGAATATCGACTCAGAAAAATTTTCTTTAACTTTTTTTGAATTTGTATTTGAGTCAAAATCCAAAAATAACGCAAAAAAATTAGAATTCTCGACACAATTTTTTTTTCACGACTCAGAAAAAATATTTTCTACTTAAATATCGACTCAGAAAAATTTTCTTTGATTTCTCTTGAATTTGTTATTGAGGCAAAATCCAGAAATAACGCAAAAAAATTAGAATTTTCGATTCAGAATTTTTTTTCACGACTCAGAAAAAATATTTTCGACTTGAATATTGACTCAGAAAGGTTTTCTTTAACTTTTCTTAAATTTGCAATTAAGGCAAAATTTAAAAATAACGCAAAAAAATTAGAATTCTCGACACAGAATTTTTTTTCACGACTCAGAAAAAATATTTTCGACTCGAATATCGACTCAGAAAAATTTTCTTTGACTTTTCTTGAATTCGTAATTGAGGCAAAATCCGAAAAAATCAGAATTTTCGACTCAGAATTTTTTTCACGACTCAGAAAAAATATTTTCGACTTGAATATCGACTCAGAAAAATTTTCTTTAACTTTTCTTAAATTGGTAATTAAGGCAAAATCCAAAAATAACGCAAAAAATTAGAATTCTCCACACAGAATTTTTTTCACGACTCAGAAAAAATATTTTCGACTCGAATATCGACTCAGAAAAATTTTCTTTGACTTTTCTTGAATTCGTAATTGAGGCAAAATCCGAAAAAATTAGAATTTTCGACTCGAATTTTTTTTTCACGGCTCAGAAAAAATATTGTTTACTTAAATACTGACTCAGAAATATTTTCTTTGACTTTTCTTGAATTCGTAATTGGGGCAAAATTCAAAAAAAATTGAATTTTCGACTGAGAATTTTTTTTCACGACTCAGAAAAAATATTTTCAACTTGGATATCGACTCAGAAAAATTTGCTTTGACTTTTCTTGAATTTGCAATTGAGGCAAAATCGAAAAAAAAATAGAATTTTTGACCCAGAATTTCTTTTTCACAACTCAGAAAAAATATTTCCTACTCGAATATCGACTCAGAAAAATTTTCTTTGACTTTTCTTGAATTTGTAATTAAGGCAAAATCCAAAAATAACGCAAAAAAATTAGAATTTTCGACACAGAATTTTTTTTCACAACTCAGAAAAAATATTTCCTACTCGAATATCGACTCAGAAAAATTTCTTTTGACTTTTCTTGAATTCGTAATTGAGGCAAAATCCGAAAAAATTAGAATTTTCGACTCAGAATTTTTTTTCACGACAGATAAAATATTTTCTACAAAAATATCGACTCAGAAATTTTTTCTGACTTTTCTTGAATTCGTAATTGAGGCAAAATCCAAAAATAACGCAAAAAAATTAGAATTCTCCACACAGAATTTTTTTTCACGACTCAGAAAAAATATTTGCTACTCGAATATTCACTCAGAAAAATTTTCTTTAATTTTTCTTGAATTTGTATTAAGGCAAAATCCAAAAATAACGCGAAAATATAGAATTTTCGACTCAGTTTTTTCCACGAATCAGAAAAAATATTTTCTTCTCAAAAATCGACTCAGAAAAATTTTCTTTGACTTTTCTTGAATTCGAAATTGAGGCAAAATCCGAAAAAAATTTGAATTTCCGACTCAGAATTTTTTTTCACGACTCAGAAAAAAAAAATCGACTCGAATATCGACTCAGAAAAATTCTCTTTGACTTTTCTTAAATTTGTAACTGAAGCAAAATCCAAAAATAACGCAAAAAATTTAGAATTTTCGACTCAGAATTTTTTTTCACGACTCAGAAAAAATATTTGCTACTCAAATATTGACTCAGAAAAATTTTCTTTGACTTTTCTTGAATTTGTAATTGAGGCAAAATCCAAAAATAACGCAAAAATGTTTGACTCAGAGTTTTTTTTCGCGACTTAGAAAAAAATATTTTCTTCTCAAAAATCGACTCAGAATTTTTTTTTATTACTTTTCTTGAATTCGTAATTCAGACAAAATTCGAAAAAATTAGAATTTTCGACTCGAATATGTTATTGGGGATGCCGTGGGCAATATTTTTTACCATGGGAACAACCCTGTATATATGACAGGTGAGGCGTGGTTAGCTGTCAAATATTGGAATCCTATATCCAAAAGCAGAGTAACTATGACAGATTTTGATGAACAAAAAATCTATTTCTACTAAGGCGACCAAGTTAAGTCGAAAAATGTCAACCATTTTGACACCTGTCAAAACCCTGCCAAACGGCAGCACTCATCTTTCTCAGTTTTCAATATTTTATGATGTCATTTGACATTTTTAACTTGTATGTAAATTCTGAATTCAAAAATTGAAAAAATAAATGACAGAATTGTCAAAACCTGTCATTTGTTTTAGTAGAAAAAAATACTCTCATCTGGTACTTTCTTGTTTCAAGGTAGTTTATTGGTGATAAAACATTGAACAAAGTTCATGCACGTCACATTTTGACAGCTGTCAGAATCTGTCAATAGCTTTAATTCAAAAAAGAATCAAATCTAGTTCTTTTTCAATTTAAGTCATGCTTATTTATGATAACGCATAAAAAAATATTATACGCAGGTTTCAGATTTTTGACAGAGATGTCAATTTTCGTTTTAAAGTACATATGTAGTTTCAGTATAAAGGATTTTATTTTATTAGTCATTATAGTATAGTCATTATAATACTTAGAACTATAATGAAATCATTAAAGTACTCAAACATTTTGACACAAAAGAAATCCATAATGATGATGTCATTTTGACAGTTCTTTAATTTTTTTTTCTCAATTTTTGAATTCAGAATTTACATAGTTAAAAATGTCAAATGACATCATAAAATATTGAAAACTGGAAAAGATGAATGCTGCCGTTTGGCAGGATTTTGACAGGTGTCAAAATGGTTGACATTTTTCGACTTAACTTGGTCGACTCAGTAGAAATAGATTTTTTTTTCTTCATCAAAATCTGCCATTGTATCTGCTTTTGGATATAAGATTTTAATATTTGACAGTTAACCACGCCTCACCTGTCACACATACAGGGTTGTGCCCATGGTGAAAAATGTTGCTTATGGCATCCCCAATAACATATTTAAATTTCATTCAAATATCACGGGTAACCAATTTCCATTTAAATATTGCGGGGTCCCTTTTCCCTTTACCAGTTTTTTAGAAAAAAATTAAAATGAAAGAGGATGAAGTTTCCTTGATTTTGCTTAAAAAAGTCAATTTTCCAGAATTTTTCCTGGAGTGATTTTCTACTGAAAAATTTTGAAATTTTTCTACAATGATCTCCTCCTTTTTCTATTTCTCATGGAAAATTTTCAAATTTTGTCCATGGGAAATTAAAGAAAAGCAACATGAGAATACATTTTGCAGTGTAAACCGAGTCAATTCCATTTGAGACAACACGAAGCGCCATCTGTTGACAATCAAGCCAACTATAAAATCTACACTGGCCACCTTTGCCTGCGTTTACGTCAGAACACCAAAATAATCAACCACCAAAATTAAAATTAAAAAAAATTTACTCAAAACAATTAAAAACAAAAAAATCTTCTTTTTTTCTTAGTCCTACAATTAGGCACTAGCTGACGTCACACACACATAACTTCATTTATGTGTGTGTGTGACGTCAGCTAGTACCTAATCGAATCAATCGGTTACCTGCTCCAAGGGCACCTTGTGACACTTGTCTTTGCCTTAACCTCAACCTAAAACAAAAACCCAATAAGGGGGGGGGCCTACAATAGATAATTCGAAAAAATTACTTTGGGGCCGCTCAACATTTGAGCCCTTATGGCCCACCTGAGCTCGTCTCTGCTGTCCTGGCCTGGAATTTTCGTCCTTTTCCATTCGGATTGGTAGAAATGGTACAAGGCAACTGGATCTGATTTGTTTAAGTTGCCTAAAGGCAATTTTTGACGGATAACTGAAATTTGATTTGATTTTAGTTGATAAATAATTGAAAATCTTTGCATATTATTTACATTGTGTTTTGGTGCTTCCTTGGCTGAGTTTTGAGGGGGCTTTGACATTAGGGGGCTCAATTTTTGCCGGTTTGTTGTAGATGTGAACTGCAATTTGTTTTGGGGGTTTGTTTTCTTTGTTTGGGGTCTTTCTATCGGATTTGATGACTTTTTTCAAGTCTGAAAAACGAGTTTTGGGGTCTTATTTGGGCTACTTTTAACAACTGAAAATTACCTTTCATAAACTCCTTTAGTTGTTGGGCGTCAATATCTGTGTAGCCTAGTTCGTTTAAATACACCAAAACTGACTTGGGGTCGATTTTTTCAGACATTTTATTAATTAGGATTGGTTTTTTATTAATTATTTGCTTAATTAACGAGGAATTTAATTAAAATTCAGACAAAAATTTAAAATAACAGCTTTTCAAATGTAAACAACAACAAACAAAATGGCTGACGTTGACATCTGTCAGTTTTAAGGCGTTTTCATTTATACAATAGGGGATTGGTTTTTATTGTTTTGAGTAATTTTTTTTTATTTTAATTTTTACTCCGAGTCGTTTTTTTCACTCTAAAGACACTGTTCTTGAAGTTCTGTGTTTGAAAAGATACTCGAACTTAAATAATCTCACTCCGAGTAAAGTACATAAACCGATAGAGTAGAAAACTGCAAAGAGTAAACTTTAAACGTTCCAATTCACTTAGAAATAGAGTCAGAACAGTGTTTTTAGAGTAAAAAGAGTATACACTCACCACTCTAAAAACACTGTTCTGTTTACTCCGAATACAAATCCTTAGCTAATAGAGTGAAAAAAAATAATTTCAGAACTCGTTTTATATCAAAGGCGTTTTCTCACGATGGTTTGAACTATGGTTTAAACCAATTTGTAGATGACGTCATCACTTGTGAACTCGAGAAAATGGAAGCTTTAAACCACATTCTTATAACTTTTTTGAACCAAGTTCAACGTGACGTCACTGGTTCAAAGCAAGCGTGAACAGGTTCGAACCTAATTCGAACCAGCTCCGCCGTGAGAAAACAGCTCAAATCTGTTCTAAAAATTGATCAAAACCTGTTCCAAACTCGTTTACTCTCAAATTAAACCCTGAACTAGGGTCGATTTTTACGTTTTTGACACTGTTATACAGTTTGACAAGTTGCACCTATCCTTGAATTTATATGTTTTTCAATTGGGAGTTGGTGCGAGCTCTGATTAAGAAGTTCATGCACCGACAGGGCGCTTTGGAGCTGAGCAATTCGTCCGCGGAACGAGTGAAATCGACTCGGAATGATATTTTTTAGTAGCTTGTTGCTTTTGGAACTTAGTGCAGGTTTTATTTATGTTCGGAACAAGTTTTTAGTGTACTGAATTGTTTTTAGAGTAGGATTAAATTTATTTATAATAAACGTGCTTACTCAGAGCACTTCAAATAGGGCAATTTGAAGTGCTCTGAGTAAGCAAGTTGTTAAGAATTGCATTATTTTTGACTCCTTGGAGTAAATAGAGTAAGTTTATTTGGGTTTTGAAAAATAAGTAAAAATGAGTGAATCTAGTGTGATCCAGAGCACTAAAGTAGAATTAGATTGAGTGTTTTTTTTAAGTTTGGAACAGCAATAGAAAAACCCTAAACACTCAGAACCAGTTTAGAGTCAAATTAGAACTGGTTCAAAATGAACCAGAAACAAAAAGTAAAAAGTGTATTGTGCTCCGGAGCACTAATGGAGTGTGCGAATGAAAGAGTGAATTAATTCAAGGATATTTTCAAGTTCGGAACAGAAACCCCAATAGCTTGGAACACAGAGTCAACTTGGAACTGGTTCCATATAAACTGCGAACAAATTCAATGTGTTCTAGAACACTTATTTTGTATTGTTTGATTGCGAACCAGTTCGGAACGAGAGATTTTCTAACAACGAACAAGCTCGGAACAGCTTCTTAGAGCAAATAGAGCTGATTTTAGTTGAACACAGAACATTTTTGGTTACTACGGGCAAAATACAGTTGACATTACAAAAATAGAATTCTATATATCGATTGACATTTACAGGTTTCTGCATTACTGGCCGGCCATTTTCTATTTGTAGGTTATGTTTGTGAGGATTTTCCAGAGGATCATAGGATTTCCTGGTCGGGTAAATTTAATCTAATTTTTATTTGAAATACGGCAAATCTAGAACACTAAAGTTTGCTCGATATCAAAAAAGAAAAAGTTCAATGTGTTCAGAGTAAAAAACTAATATTTACAGTAATTTGAACCGAGTGATTGCAAATGGAACAGAGTTAGAACAGCCAAGGTAGTTCGAACAGTTGAACAGATTAAAAAGAGTCAGCGCACTTAGAATTGACAGAGTAAAATTGCTAAAAACCCAAAATTAATTTTCAAGACGTTTCTCCAATAAATAGAACTTTATTCGACCAATCAATATCCTTTTGATGACGTCACCTGCAGACCTAACAAAAACCGTTTCAAGTTAAAGATGCACCCGGAAAACACAGTGACAGGCCAATTTTGTCACTTTTAATCAAAATTTTGAAATAAATATTCTTGCTATAAGGCCACCTTTTATGATGACATCACCATTAGACCCAGCAAAAACCGTTTGAAACACAATGACAGGCGAATTTTGTCACTTTTCATCAATATTTTGAAATGAATATCCTTGCTACAAGGCTGTACATGATGACGTCGCCTGCAGACACAACAAAAACGGTTCCAAACTAAAAATGCACTCGCAAAACACAGTGACAGGTCAATTTTGTCACCTGTTACAATGTCAGCTTACATGATGACGTAACTTACAGACCCAACAAAAACCGTTCCCAACTAAAAATGCACCCGCAAAACACAGTGACAAATGAACTAGGAACAAAGAATAGAAAGTTCAGTGTAAGGGATTTTCTAGCAATAAACGTATTTGGAGTAGATTCCTGGTGAATCTTTACTCCTTGGAACAGATAAAATCGATCCTAAACTGATTTTAGTTGAGCACAGAAAATCCTTAGGTAAATAGCATTCTATTGAATTTAACAAAAAAGTGACATTTACAAAATAGAATTCTATTCAGAATCGATCCAGAACTGGTTCTAACTTAATTACGAACAAAAAACATCAAGTTCAATATGTTCCGGAACACTTATTCAAGTTTAGATTGGGTACCAGTTAATTTATTTTTTTAGAGTTCGGAATAGCAATTGAACAACTCGGAACCAGTTCTGAATGAATTGAGAACCAAAAACATTAATTTAATTTAAGATATTCATGCACTCTATGTGTTATAATTGATCCACAACCTGTTCTTATTGAACGGCGGAACACTGGGAACTAGTTCAGAAATGATTTAGAACCAGTTCTAGATAAACTGGGAGCAAATTGAATGTGTTCTAGAACACTTATTTGACATTGTTTAGAACAATTCGAACACAGAGTCAGTGCAAGTGTTTTTACAAATTAATTTATTGTTGGAGTACATAAATTGAATGATTTAGAGTAGTTACAACAGAGTTAGTGCAGATAGAACAGAATTGAAATAATTGGAACAGTCAGAGTAATTCAAAATGCAAATAGAATTAATACAACTGGAACATAATTAGAGCATAAACGGCAAGTTCAGGTCAGAACAGTTCGAGCAGAGTCAAAAATAAAATTAGAACAATTCGAACACAGAGTCAGTGCAAGTGTTTTTACAAATTAATTTATTGTTGGAGTACTTAAATTGAATGATTTAGAGTAGTTACAACAGAATTAGTGCAGATAGAACAGAATTGAAATAATTGGAACAGTCAGAGTAATTCAAAATGCAAATAGAATTAATACAACTGGAACATAATTAGAGCATAAACGGCAAGTTCAGGTCAGAACAGTTCGAGCAGAGTCAAAAATAAAATTAGAACAATTCGAACACAAATTCAGTGCAAGTGTTTTTACAAATTAATTTATTGTTGGAGTACATAAATTGAATGATTTAGAGTAGTTACAACAGAGTTAGTGCAGATAGAACAGAATTGAAATAATTGGAACAGTCAGAGTAATTCAAAATGCAAATAGAACATACTTAGAGCATAAACGGCAAATTCAGGTCAGAACAGTTCGAGCAGAGTCAAAAATAAAATTAGAACAATTCGAACACAAAGTCAGTGCAAGTGTTTTTACAAATTAATTTATTGTTGGAGTACATAAATTGAATGATTTAGAGTAGTTACAACAGAGTTAGTGCAGATAGAACAGAATTGAAATAATTGGAACAGTCAGAGTAATTCAAAATGCAAATAGAACATACTTAGAGCATAAACGGCAAGTTCAGGTCAGAACAGTTCGAGCAGAGTCAAAAATAAAATTAGAACAATTCGAACACAAAGTCAGTGCAAGTGTTTTTACAAATTAATTTATTGTTGGAGTACATAAATTGAATGATTTAGAGTAGTTACAACAGATTTAGTGCAGATAGAACAGAATTGAAATAATTGGAACAGTCAGAGTAATTCAAAATGCAAATAGAACATACTTAGAGCATAAACGGCAAGTTCAGGTCAGAACAGTTCGAGCAGAGTCAAAAATAAAATTAGAACAATTCGAACACAGAGTCAGTGCAAGTGTTTTTACAAATTAATTTATTGTTGGAGTACATAAATTGAATGATTTAGAGTAGTTACAACAGAGTTAGTGCAGATAGAACAGAATTGAAATAATTGGAACAGTCAGAGTAATTCAAAATGCAAATAGAATTAATACAACTGGAACATAATTAGAGCATAAACGACAAGTTCAGGTCAGAACAGTTCGAGCAGAGTCAAAAATAAAATTAGAACAATTTGAACACAAAGTCAGTGCAAGTTTTTTTACAAATTAATTTATTGTTGGAGTACATAAATTGCATGATTTAGAGTAGTTACAACAGAGTTAGTGCAGATAGAACAGAATTGAAATAATTGGAACAGTCAGAGTAATTCAAAATGCAAATAGAACATACTTAGAGCATAAACGGCAAGTTCAGGTCAGAACAGTTCGAGCAGAGTCAAAAATAAAATTAGAACAATTCGAACACAGAATCAGTGCAAGTGTTTTTATAAATTAATTTGTTGTTAGAGTACATAAATTGAATGATTTAGAGTAGTTACAACAGAGTTAGTGCAGATAGAACAGAATTGAAATAATTGGAACAGTCAGAGTAATTCAAAATGCAAATAGAATTAATACAACTGGAACATAATTAGAGCATAAACGACAAGTTCAGGTCAGAACAGTTCGAGCAGAGTCAAAAATAAAATTAGAACAATTTGAACACAAAGTCAGTGCAAGTTTTTTTACAAATTAATTTATTGTTGGAGTACATAAATTGAATGATTTAGAGTAGTTAGAGCAGAGTTACAGTTACTCCGTTTACTTTGAGAACAAATAAAGTCAAAAAGAGTACAGAGGTGCATGGGGGTGCATTCTTAGTGACGTCATCCTTGA